TTGATGTTTGTTCATTTCAAGGTAAAGGTATTACAGTAAAATAGAGTGCTGCGATAACAATGTTGTACGATTTTGGTATACAAAAAGTAATGGTTCAAAATAAATCGCTTTATGTTTCAATCGTCATTTCGAGCAACAAGCTGTGAAATTCATTGTGTTGGTACTAGTTTTAAGCGTAGGAATTGCAATTATGTATGAAAAAATCTTATTTTTATGTGAACTAGCATAGGAAAATAAATTCAGGCAACAATTACTAAAATAGTTTGGTATTAAGTCAGGCCGCAATGTTACTAAAAGTGGTGATTTGCTTACGCTAAGGAAATAATGAGACTTTTAAACTAAATATCTCTCTCTAACGATGGACAACTTATCTACTTAGGCGGAAATTCATGTTAAATCCAATTTTCACACATACATACACCACATATTCCAATTGTCAATTCAGTAGTATGGAGATTCGCCTAGAATACTCCACAGAAATGGGTATCAGTTACGGGGAATAGGAAATTTACCATAATGGATAACGGAATTAACATCGAAATTCCAATACCATCAATGTGTCTTCTTCCTAACTGACAAGTTCTTTTGTCACAGTTTCGCATCTGATAAACAAACAAAGCCTATACCTTTATAAACGGCATTAACATGGCTGATAATGTACAGTATGAAAATAATTCATTCTAAAATTTGCTAAATAGGCATTAAGTCCACCGTTTCAGCAGATAGTACTCTATTACAAGAAAATTTAAGACTCAGAGTAAGGTGCCTTATGCTGTATTTTGTCTTACATCATGAAACCTGAAGTGATCAGCAACTTAATATCCGAAAGAGCACTCCAGAAGTCTCAGTTTCACATCAGAATACGAAATACAACTGTATTTTCATTCTTATTCTTTAGGTGCATCAAGGTTTTCATTTCCTTCAATAGATGATAAAGAAATGAGAAAAGTGTATGATAATGCAACGTAATGTTATGCTCACGACATGCGTGATAGAGTACACAAGCGTTAGAGATGGAAATCCAATAATATAAAGTCATTTGAAACCTTTCACTGCCGTTTTATAAACTGATAGTTTAGCGTTAACGAACATAACCGTAAAACTTAAACCCTGTTCGCAATAGGTTTAGGAAAATTGTTGGCCATAAAATGTCAGTACGGGTTTTTCCTTCAATTTCAAAATTCACAAGACAGCTCTATATAGAATCTGATTGATAGCTCTAACTTTTTAAAATTGTCATTCTTTGAAGATGCTGTTATTTTGTTGAATAAAGTTTTCGGTTGCTATTCATTTAATTTCTCACTGACATGTGCGATTCAGAGGCGAACTACATGTATGCAGTGTAAGCATATTTTATTTCATACGTATTTAACAAGTTAAACATCGTGTATATAAAGGACTCATCGTCTGTTATTTATTTTGTCAGATTTTTATCGGTGACATTTTAATTTTGCACTGATAATTTCGACGAAAATTTATCTGTTATTAATGTACTTGTAAAATATGATTTCGTTTTTTAATAATAAATCTCTTTAAAAATGTGTAGTTTTTTTCTGAATTATGGTATGTCAGAACAGTCGTTTTGTAATGGAAACCGAAGCGAACATAAGTGACGCAACTTCTTAGAGCATGTGATTATACATAGTTCAGTTCAATTAGGCGAAAAGTTGTACATCGGGCGTAAATTTAGGCAAAAAGTAGAACATTAAACTACCGTGGAAAACACACTGACAAAAAGGCAGGGAAATACAAATTTTTGTACGTGTTACCTCTTATTTTCGGAATGAATGTCCCATTTTTCGGTTGTTTGAGGTCTGAACTCAGCTAATCTACTTTCATAATTTCAAGAAACGGAAGTGACCCATTGCATCACTGAATAAAAGTAAAGGCAATTCAGCAAAGAAAATTTTGTTTTTGTCGATTTCATTTACTTCAGCTGTACAATCGTATTTTTAGTTAATTTTATTCGGTAAAATAGAATTATGTGAAATAATAATAAATAAACTTCAAGTTGTATTATGTCATGAAGTTTTGTTGTGGTCGGCTAGTGATTACATTGATAAATAATAAACTGGACATCAGTGTCTCAATGCGAACACTATTCTATTGCACCATAAATTATTATTTTAGCAAGCAGAATTAATTTTAAATACAATTGTACAGCTTAAGTAAATGAAATCGAAGAAAAGAGAATTCTCTTCAAAGAATTGCCTTTATTTTACTTTCGCTGACATCTGTTGTAAGCCCTGGGTAACATCGAACGAACACGATCTTATTTAGCACAGAAGTAAACCTAGTACTTCTACATGTAATAAGCTGTTTCTGACGAAAACTATATTTGAGTCTGTTATTAAACCATATTAGCTCAACATGATACCGTGTAACCAACTGATTTCTGACGGAATTTCACATGATATAATAGGTTGGTGGGTAATGCTGAATGTATTTTACATCTACATACTCAGATCTTCTGTTAACTTAATCACTACTCTGTGTATCACACAAAATAGTGCTACCAGGCGTGACTTTTATACCATGCCCTCCCCACTTTAGCATTGAATTCAAATGAATGTTATTTTAGGATTACAACCAACGAACATACACATGCGTAGCATGAAACCTTTTAGCGAAATAACTTAACCATTTATTTTATAGCTTTTCATCTATGAATGTCAAATACATAATTGACGTCGAACCCTGGATTCATTTTATAATATCAGTCTAATTCAATCAGATCCTTTTAGTGGGTGTTACAATGACTGATGTAAACATTATTTATGATCAAGGTTATCAAAAATGTATCAAGGCTGAATCAATGCTATTACAAATTCTTTAATCTCTTGTTAAGTGAGAGAACAAAGTGAATGAGATACAGGATTTATTGCAACAAAATCCAGATATTTAAGAATTAGGTAGTTACTTGGCATTTATAGTAGTGAATTTTTTCAAGTAATTGATTGTGTAGGTAGATGAGAAGAGAACAGTCATTTAAACGTCAATTATAAGAAAAATGTTCAACAAGCGATGGAAATAAAAGAGAAATTAGAATTTAGGGACATTTGTCAGTTTGTAAATATCATCTAAGTTTGAGAAAACAGTAAACAATCTTCAACCTTTCAACTAATATGATTTTTTAAATCAGATTATTCACAGTAATCAGAATGTATGTGAAATGTGCCCGAAGGACTAATAATTTCTAGTACCTTCTGCTAAAACATATCTGCAGTCATGTCTAAAGGAAAAAAGCAGTAATGTCCTTCTGTTCTATAAATATACGTAAGAGGTACATCAACTGGTGTATTCAGTTAGCGTTGATATGAGAGAGGCTTATTACGCAACAATCGGTGTTTTTTATAAAGATTTTATTGGTGTAGATGCTGTGATGATCTTTCGCTCAAGACATTAATCGAATTATCCGGTAAACTATTCAGGAATAAGAAACAACAGTTGCTTTATTCAAATTTAGTCACATTTATGTTTGTGTGGTAGTTATTTAAATCAATCTATGTAAACGTCTTTGAAAAGCTTTTTGATTTCTGAACAGTTAAGTAGCGGAGTTTCTGCTAAAATAACTCTGTAAATCTCCTCGGATTTTTCTAAAAGTAAATCAGCACATAGCTACAAAATCATTAACTGTTAGGTCTGTCAACCTAACTGCATGAGTGTGAATTTATTTTCGGCTTGAAATCCAACCAAAGATTGGCTTTTAAATTTATACGAGTCAATTTTAATTGTGAGATTTTCTAGGTATTTGATTTATTTACCAAATAACTCATGGGTTTGATGTCGTTTTTTATATATTAATTTATAAAGTCGACTTTGTATCTAAATTGTTTAAATGATGAAATTAATAAAAATTCGTGTAGTCCGATCGATCTGTCGGTTAAATATTTAGAGCCATGGAACACTGATGTCGTTTATAGCAGGAAATCAATGTAACATTTTAATATATTTCAGATTTTTCTTAAGTTCCAGGTCGTGTGAGCATTTGATTTACTCAATTAATAACTCATGGAAAGCGTTGATGACACGAAATTCCATTTATTGTAAGCTGTAAATAAATACTTTTATTTGCGTCACTTTTTGAAACCATGTGACTCATTGCAGTACAGACTCAGGTTTTGTCAATAAATCATAATGATTTTTATTGTTTAACTGAACACGGTCCCATCACCGTATATATATATTTTTATATATTTGTTGGTTAGTTGACAGACCGTATATCAAAAAACTCACTAAATCCTATTAGTAAGTGGTAAAACATAATTAAGTACTCTAGACTTAGCTAATGAGAATCTTTTCCAACATAGAAGTTCGGAACAAAATGGTACTACTTATTCACTAGAAATCGAGAACATTGTAGATCGATTACTCTAAGTGGATGTCATTATAGCTAATTGTACTATCAAAGATAAGCAATCAAAAATTACGCCCAATAATTGGGATCACAGAAAATTTGTAAGAAACTGAAAAAAAGTTGAAAAACACTACAAAACCTGGATAATGTTGCTTGACTGTTGCAACAAAAGTAATTTTCTGCTTTTCATGGATATTATAATCGCTAAATTGTTAGCATCGTTATTTTCAAGTGAAAAAAGATAAGATTCTAATGACAAACAAATTTTTAGGTAGACGTGCTAGATATTTTTTGCAGTCGATAGTGAAATTACTAGAAAATTTTTGAGAAAAAATTGAAGGGAAGAAGAACAGGAAGAGAGTTACAGGAAACTTGACCATGAAAATAAATTTAGTAATAGACTATCACAAATATAAAACAGCTATGATTAAACAATAAAGGAACTAAGACCAAAAACACATTGGGTATGCTATTATATGTATAATAGCTGAAATCTAAGAATCAGAAAAATATAATAAATCAATTTTCACTTTGAGCTCAATTGATTTCGCTGTTGTTAAAGTTGCAAGTAACAGGGTTTTCATTCAGCATATAAACACATATGTATGGTGGTCATGATCATTCTGAGACACAAAAAAATCATTCATTGTATGTAAGAAGCTTCAATGAGTTCTAAAGTACCTTCTTGGGTCCGCACTGACTTTTCTAATGATGAGGCGTTTGGTGAATCAGAGGCTGCTAAAATCTGGCGTACTGTTGTCACGATAGCTAAGATAAGAAATAAAATAGAAAAATTTCACTAGTTTACTTCAATTACGGGTGAAATAGAAAACGTCAAAAACCCTTCATATATTCATTTCTCCCATGTTAATTGTACGTAATTAATGTAACAAAGCTAGCTGCGATCTAAGAAATTATATTTTACCCATAAAACATCACTACCGGGTTCCCTCTATTAGTTAACCCATTTTATTGTTTACTATATTAAGCTATTTTACATCATACTGGTTAACATCATGATCATCAACCAATTCCATTGTTTATTAAAACATTCATTAACTTATTGGCTATACTGAGAACGCTATATCTAAAGTAAACAGTTATTTTAAATTTGACTTTATTTACCGTTACCATGTTTACAAGTAAAAGATTCTATTAATACAACGACATGTAATAAATTGAAGCTATTGGATACCGTTACAACTAATTTCATAAACAATGTAAGCATGCTCCAACTGAATGAAGTCGGCCTTGAAAACTATAACTGTTTCTCCAGTACAAGACAGATTAAACACTACATTATTCTAGTTTAATAAGTTGATAAATTATCAGAATCATATCCATAATTGAGTTTGTAATTGTAAGAGAGTGGGAATTGAAGACAAAAGTTATAAAATTAAAGATATGGGAAAAAAGTCTGATCACCTGGCTTTAGTTGACCATCGCATTTATTACATCATCATTTCTCTCATCATACGTAACTTACAGTTATCCCGATTGTTATTCCTTCAACAATTTATGGTATACAACCTGATCGCAGTATAAAATGAGTAAACCTGTGATCGTTTTGAAATTTAAAATCGATATTTTACTAGCAATTGAAAATCCTTATCCTGTAATGCGGATACATGATGTATGCGCCTTAGACTGGTTTATTTTTCTAACCACTAACTGACTGAACAACCTGAAGAAAGTTTACTGATTGGTTTTTGAGATAACTTGAAATGGATAACATTTTATAGAGGCTAAATACTACGATCCGTAATATGATAAAAGTGTAAAACGTATGAAATATGTGTTTACTTTTAAGAGTAGTTAGTATTTTTCTCTTGTGTTTAAGGAATAAAAATGAAAAATCCTAAATAAATAAAAAAATACTCACCCGGTTGACAGTATTGAAGCACACGTTCAACCAAATCATTGATATCTTCTAGGGCTGGCGGTGTTTCTATCGGTTCAGCTTTTATAGGAATATAAAATCTATAAATAAATAAAAAGAGATGATTAGTTAGCTTTTCCTCATAAAAATAATGATCTGAGAATAAACGTTTGCTTAATTGATAGTATTTAGTTTTACTAGCTTTTTTAAAATGTTAAACATGCATATAAGTAATAAAATTTTTACATTAACTGATAAAAATTACATAGTAAGGTAAACGCGATTACAATTTACATACGAACGAGGTCCATAGATGAGTTAAACGATGATACTACAAGTATTTTTTTAAATGTATTTATGTACTAGGTAATTTCAAAATCTTTAATTAATGAGAATAAGTTAAGGCAAAACCACAAACTACTGATTTAACCTAAATAAAAATAAGTTCAGTGGTTACTTGTGAAATTTATATTAGTCAGATAGTACCTTGAGATAAAAAAACTAATTTAGGTTTACGAGAGGAAATCATAACTAATTGATGAAGAGTCCCGCATTAAAGTGTGCGATGAAAAACATAAGTATAAGTTTCCGGAAGACATTGAATCTACTCAAAGAAATATAAAATACCAAATCATGCTGAACTAGACCACTCAATCGAATACCATTCTTTATGGTATATTAATTGGTATATTTCTATGGTAAAGTAAAAACTTCCCAACTGTTTAGTAGTAGCTGATAAAGAATGGAGTGCAAATCCTGAAGATACACTGTACATAGATATTCGACATAGAAAGCATAACAAGTAATTTTGCATAAGTCGCTTACAACGATGCAAATAACTTGGATTAATAACGCCTAGTTGGTAGAGGTAACAGCTGTATAACGCTATGTAACAAAAAGCTGAAAAGTTTACGAACGGTTAGTAAGAAATGAAAAGTTTTTCCATGTTATACTCTGCTCGCTTGTGATGGAAGCAGAGATTATAGTCTTGCTAAATCATCGACTAACTAATTATGGTAGCGTACATGAAGCGAATGTAAGTCACTTGTTACATGTATTGAAATACAGACATCGATGTAATGGTGGAAAATTTTTCTTTATGCAGTTACTCGTAACACTTTGGACTTGTGCTCTTTTAGTGAGTCAAATACACCAATTTATTAAGAAGTTCAGTCATTCCTGACAGATCTATAAGTAATCTGAGTATAGATAAAGAGACTCCATCATTTATAACCAAAATAATATACTTGAATATTAATAAAAATTAAAATACTTCGCCTTTTACAACTATAAGATATAATGTTAAAAGTCAGAGAATATAGATATCTATTTATATTTTATTTTGAGCATATTTTAAGTATGGTGAAACCAAGTGAACTGGCAAACATTGGTATTTTTAATGACGTCCAATTTAGTCACAGTCAATACAAATAAAACGCAATAATGGATCCAGAAAAATGTAATGATATGCCTATATATATAATGTCATGCCTTCTATGTATTGCCCAAGTCAAGCATACTGATTATTCTTGGTAGTAGTGGGCTATCATAAACAGAAAGTATAGTAGTTTAGATGATGAAGAACAAGGTTTTTATCAAAGTGCACAAATTTACTTAATCTTCTAATTTGTTGAGACTTTATTAGGAAGGTATGTCCCGATGGAAATAATACAACAAAATAATGGGACAGTTTATGACTGACAAATCAGAGCGTCAACAACTGAAATATACAAACCTTTACAAATGTAACTCCAGATCCGTTGGATAAGTTAATGGCTGTGTATTAGTAACTGTGTAGACTTAGTAGTTTAATGAACGTGAGTTTCAAATTAGCAGTAATAGGTTTATGTTTGACTGCCTACATGAACAACAATATTGTGATGGAGATACGCCGAGATGACAATGCCGAAATAAGGTGAAACCGGCATCATGATCCCATTGTCAGCCACAACCGAAATGCAATAATGCACTGCTAAATGAATAATACATCTTAATGATTAGAACTGTAATTGGAAACACTGTCTATACTAAGTTGAAAATGAATCTACCAAGATTATTGCCAAGTTTCGATGAAGATATAGCACACATAGAAATAACGGAAGCATTTGGCAAATACTTACAGACTGTTGACTCTCTCTTCTTTACGTATTAAATCATCTAGGAAAAGAATTAATTACAAAATAATTTGTATACGTTTGAAAACAGAGAATTAATCACAACATAATTGACATTTTTTTATAAAAGCCGATATACCACTTAGTCGGGCAGAACTGAAGATGTTTAGTAAAAACGTGGATGAAAACGCAAAGCATTGGATTTACGCAGATATATATATATATATATATATATATATATATATATATATATATATATATCGACTAAGGTATAAACAGCAACTTAAAATTAATTTCTGCTGGACGCTCATCTATGGCATAAGCATGATTTCTGTTTAAAAACTACTAAAGGCGTACAAACCAACAGATAAGTTACATACAAATGGAAAGGTGAGATTTCTTTCTATGGTTCATAAGATGCAAACTGTCATTAGCCGGTGACTGAAACACTTATTTTAATGTTTGAACATTTATATTCTATTCTGGACGTTTTCGAAATCCTGTTTACCTATTACAACGTTAAATTCTGTTACACAGCGATTGCTCTCTTAATAGAACAATTGAAAACCTTGATAAAACCTAATTTCTTTCCAAAATCTTACCTCGAATTTCTCGGTCTTGTTCTTGCTCCTCTTCATCATCATTATCAGAAGAGGAGGAGGAAGAAATATCTACTTCTTCCTGTAGAATGTAGACCTCATCCTCTTCATTATCGCTAGTTATAAAGAAGCGATGTTGTTCTTCATCTATTGGGGAATGATCAGGATCTGTGGTGCAAGATGTAGGTGATTTCGATAGCGAACTTTTTCGGCCCTTGGTTTCTAATGCATATTGTTTCTCAATCGTTTCTTTAGCTTTTAAAATCTCCCCAACTTTTGGCCACTGATATTTTAATACCCCACTGCCTTCTTTTAGTTTTATTTTAGATTTAGCTTCTTGACGACCATATTCAAGTGCTTTAGTCCACCTTGTTGGTTCTGTTTTTTGGTGATCCGTATTTTGCTTCGTGTTTGATAATGTAGATTTCGTTCTAACATCTTCAATCAGAAAACGTAATATATTTACAGGATTAGAAAATGAAGCGATCTGCATAAGCCGGGGTAGGTGCTCACACAATGCACGGACCCACCACCATGAAGTAGTGGTACATATTCTTGTAGGTTCGTAATACCGATTCTACATTACACGAAAAAACAAATAAGCATTTATATATTATTCATTATCATCAAATTATTAATAATGCACAAGGGCAGTTCTTGTTTTGCACACCAAGATGATTTAGGGTTTTCCAAAAAATGATTCACAGGAGTGTTTTAAGGAGCTTAAGTATTTATTCAGTTTATTAGTAAAGAATCATTTTATCAAATCACTCCATTTTTAAAGTATGGTTTTTGACCTAAATAGAACACATGATAATTTGATCATTGATCACCTCAATTACTAGGAGGTGTTCAGGAGTTTGTAAACGGCTAGCATCGTTATTGCAGCCCTAATAGAAACAGTACTCAAGAAATCACTTTAAAAAGTACGTTTGTTCAGGTATCAACGAGTATGAGCATGTAAGTCATATCAATGGTTTGCAATGCACGATTGCTAGGTAAAAATAGTTTATTTCAACTTTGTTTGTGTTTAAAAACAAACTATTAAGATTTCTTTACTATATATGCATCTAAGTGTCGTTTTTCTATTTCTCTAGGGCATTTGATGACTAGTTTAAATGGGAAGTTTTAAACGACAGTCGTAATCGGGCTGCAATAACTGGCAGATAAGTGGTTCTAAAAGGTTTTGTAATACTTACCAACTGCAAAATAAGATTTTCCAACTGAGCAAAACAAGCATTGACAACAGTTGCTAATTCGACAGAACGCTCAGCAATTGATGAAAGCTCTTTTAGTAATGAATTATCTTTATTTCCACTTGATTCATTTTTTGGAAGTTCTGAGTTATTTGTAGTTGGTAACGCAAGTATTATAGCTGCGATTCTATAAATATCAATGGAAAACTTATTTGTGAAAACATACTAAAACAATTAATAAGCATTAAAATTAATGAATACTACAGATAGATCTTCAGTTTGAATAAACGTGTTACATCCCATGTTATCACACCCTAAGAGTTTCGTTAATATTCCTTGATTAAATAATGCACACGTCCAGAAAGTGTTTTTAGTTGCCTGCGCTGACTTATAATTAGTACTTTGGAATTACAGTCTTTAATTATTTCATAATAATTGTCATTATGTTTTGACTATCATATTGCTATGGCTGCATCTGTTGGTTACGTCGATTGAGAAAAGTCGTACAGTTGACCAGAATCAATAATCTTACAACAATGAATCCACCGTCCAGTAATTCAGAAATCTGAATGACCGTGATATATCAAGAAAGTGATTACTTAAAGCGAAATACTGATTTTCAATAAAGCTGATATATTTCGTCTTCATATTATTACAGAAAAAAAATTAATTGAACATACTGTGCTTTATAGTCTCAGAATATTTTTATAGGTTACAAAACAATTACATTGCGAAAGTAATCATAAACACATTTTCGAAGAAATATGTAGTCATGGTATTTGTGATGAATCATATTAATCATTTAAAGTTCCTCATAAAACTCACAAGCGGAGTAATTTACGAACAGCAAGTATTCTAGCCTCATTTGGTGGATTTTCCAAAGTGTTATTCAAACTAGGAGGAAGAAGAGCTAGTGGCCATGTTATGAGATACGGCAGTATTGGAGATAAAAGAAGACCACCAGTTTTACGAACGTCTGGATTGGGCCGACTTGAATTTACAGATGGTGGTAAATAAGGATATATAACAGATTCTAGTTTAGTAACTAGCTTAAGAATGAAGTATGTAAGTGAACACTTTGCAGTTGGTTGAGAGAGCTGTAAGCTATAAATAAATCAATGGAAATCGAAAAGTCAAAAACAAAATTGTAATACGTTTATTAACAAAGAGAAATGGAGTCCTTTAATAAGATACTGTAAGTTACGTTGTACATTCTTTGTCGATAACAATATTTGAAGTATAGTTTGGAACTGTAAATTAATTTGGATAGTTTTAGCGTTTTAATATATCAGGTAGACCATAGAAATCATTCTGTGGTCATATGTTAGTTTTTAATGTCTAACAAAAATAAAGCGATTAAACACTGGATCCGAAGTTATTTCAAATTTCTAGATTAGTTAGTTAGTTTAGAACTCATTCAATATAAGAAACACACTCGTACACTTTGTAAATAATCTGTTCGAAATAATGTAGAAATAAGTTTTAATGAAATCGGTAGGAACAGTATGTTATTTTCATGAGAAATGACGACTACTGAGAAGTGATTTCATTCACAATTAGCGATACTGTGAAATAAATATTTAAAATTTTGAAGTTAACCGACCGTACCGTTGTACTTAAATTTCAAGCGTCTTGTAAGAAAGAAATTGGCTGGTTGTTGAACATTCAATCAGATATTGTAGATCATGATGATATTATTGTAGATGAATTCATAGAAATAGCCTCTTACATTATAAAGTCTTACGTCACTCTGTCTATTCTCATTAACTAAAATATAATTCAGTAATAGCTCATAAATCAATTATACACTTCTAATGTATCCAGCAAGTAATGTAACTGTAGTAGACGTGAGCTAATAAAAGCAATACATGCTGTTAATGGTTGAAATAAGAGGTGTTTTTTTAAAATACCGGTACGTAATAGTCTGACAAATATATTTTGGTTTCAGAACAAACTTATTTATTTCGGAAAGCTGATTATTCCTTTGAACAAACAAACGATAATGCATATAAATATGCTTAGATAACTGTCACATACCATGATAAATATGGCTTCTGCGTTATCATCATTTTGTGAAAATCTACGACATTTAATATTGGCTCGTTCGTAGGTCCAAGTTTCACGTCTATGCGTTGAGCAAATTCGACAAAGCCTCTAATACATTCTGCCTACAGTTTTTTTTAATAAATAAAGGATTTATTATCGAATCAATTTTAAGTCTAAAAAAGATAAGTTAAATTTACCAGCACTAATATTAGTTGCAAGTGAAGAGTGAAAATTTAACAGTGGATTCAACAGAAATAGGCCTCTACACTTACAAAAAGAAAGCAAGATCTTGAAGGACAACAAAGTAGGCCCCAACGAAACCATAATTAGCAGGGAAGCTATGGAAGAAACAGAAGCTACTATTAAAACGTTTTTATCGCACGAAGTTGAAACTCGGATAATCAACAGAACATTGATTAAAAAGGTACAGATATTTATAAAGTTATCTATAAAAAGTGCTCCAGATTTTCTGAACAGAGACCATGAGCATTAACATTTTGATGCAGAAAACACATCTGATACTGGTTGAGAAGTATGGGACATCCTACTAAAGCAGGACAACTTGTGATTTGGAATCTTTAAAGAGAAAAGAAGGGTCAGATCCAAGAACAGGTGGATCCGGAGACAGGAGGCGTACCTAAAGACGACGAATAACAGTCGGGAAAACTTGGAAAATAGAATTGAGGATTGAGTTACATAGAATTTACTTAACAGGGGTCAGTACACCGTGAAGGGTAGCATACATAAGTAAGTAATTAAATGCTAAGAATAGAATTGCACAGGCAGCAGTCTTTATTTATTATGATTGGTCTTGTATAACAATAAACATACGTACTTCGAATAATTTATATGAAAAAGTTTTTAGGCTTAAATATTTGTCTGAGAAGGAATAAAGTGCTTTTGTATTAATAAATAGATAATCACTCTAAATCATGAACATCATTCTAATAAATTGAATAAAAAAGCCATTAAGTGTTTAGTGAACGAACCACTAGTGTTTAGGACAATTTTTAAAAATGACCATCCATAAGTTGGAATAGAATCCTCTTAATTGCAACCTCTTTTAAACATATATCATGTCACATCCTTACTAAGATGACAGCATTGATAATGACTTGCATCCACCATCTTTTTAAAATAGATCATAATTTTCGCAAACTATCAATTATTACTTTTATAGACTGTCCTAAAAATAAAGACTACATTTTATTTCTGGTTAAACTTAAAAATATTGCTAGGAGTTAAAATCAATCGATTGTATAGTCAAAGCTGAATCATATGTTACCACTAACGACAAACATTTAATATGGAAGTAACAGTGCAAATTTTGATTGTTCCACAGCAACTTACTACATCGTTTGCATCTAAATCTAGTTTACGTTGTGAGTATGGTAGATCTGAAAAAGGATTCGGCCTCATATTTTCCCAAGTGCATGCTACGAGTGATAAATTAGACAATCTGTGTACAAGACAAAGGGTTCGCAAAGTACATTCCATTGATAACATACTGATAGAGAGAGCCATTGTACTATCCAAAGTATATTGCTGGCAACATCGAAGCCACAGTCTTGATCTGTCCAATGAAAACAAACCATAAAGCAAGGCCGCGTTTAAAATTGGGACAGTCCCAAAAATCGCATATTTCTCAGTGAAACCAGGTTCTTCTTCTTCTTTTTGTAAAATTTCATCATATAGGTATAGCTCAGAAAGACCGTCGCGTAAAAGCTTTAAAGTTACGTAGGACATCATAGTTGGAGGACTGACCATGTGCAAAGAAATCATTTCCAATAAAATATTGGCATCATACCACCGTATTAGCCTTCCAACATCATTGATGGCCTATGAGAAAGAAATTGTTATTAATCCCAATAGTCCGAAATTTCGTGACAAAAGTGAAAGAGATATGTTTGTAAGAATATTACCTTTTTATAAACCAAACAAACTACGATCAACATTTATAAAAATCATCATGTTTTTGGTACTCTAACAAAACAAAGAGATAACCCTATCATATAAATAGTATTAAAAGAAATACGTCAAAAGGTAAATACTTAAGAAGGAAGGTCTTGTGACTGAAAAAAAACATCAGTTGGAAACAGAAATAAAAGCAAAATCAATTGAAAATGATGAAAACGTGATGAGTTTCAATAAATAATCTCAGTACTCAACGTGCTCAAGGAAAAGGTGACCATCAAAAACATTGTAAGTTAGACTACTTAAACATCAAGTTTCCGTTGGGCTAAGAACAGTGACGATCAGTTCAAAATTATGAACATTAGTATAAGATGGAGAAATGAAAAATCTTACGCAAGAAGGAAACACAAACAGGACAATGTGTAAACTTCAACCGTTCCTATCCTGGGTAGTTACAAATAGTGATAAACAGAAATGTAAGAAAGTTTTATTGGGCAAATAAAAGGTTATCAATAAGTGGAAGTTACTCAGTAGTGAACTGTTGTATAAGGTACAAAAGATGTATTCAGGAAACAATCCACACTAAACTGTCAGAAAAACGATGGTCATCATTTTTTTTCTTTATAGGAATGTGATTCAGGCTGAATAATGGGTGAATAGCAGCTAAACTAATTATAGTATATAAAACCTAATGTCGAACAAACCAGATCAAAGAAGATCAATATTATCCTTAGGTGAACCTCTGTGGCATTTCTGAAATAACTTGTACTTACTGATTCAGGTAAATAAATATGTACTCTCTTAGGCCTTTTACTCCTAGTGGAGCATAGGCCGCAGACCAACATATATATCATTGTAAACATACTGAAATGATTTTACATATTCTATTGGTAATATCTTCAGAAAATACTCTTACGCACATGGTGACATCTAAGTTGATACAGATTACTAATAGCGGTCAGCAATAAAACTTAAAAGTGTTTGGAAAAGTCATCATGTTGGATTTTTATCATTACACCTGAACATAGTTTATTTCCTATGATACTGACCTAATATTATTTGTGCATTTGATCTAAGGAAACTTATCTCATTAATCATTATATAATTAATGGGAAAAATTACATATAAAGGATACTTTTTTAGCAGAACGACGAAGGCTATTATTCTCATCCAATGTACACTCAACGGCTAATCGTAGCATATTGAACGACATAGATTTCATGCTGACAGAATTTAATTCTAAACCACCAACATTTGTTTTACTCATTGAAGTTAATCCTGATACCATACTTAGACGTTTAATCCACGATTGAGTTTTGCTAACTTCCGGCTGTTTATCCTACAAAGAACCAAAAAAGCAAGTTCATTTGAAGTGTTATGTAACTGCTTACATCAACATTATCTTAACTACAAATTTACTAGTCATATATTGAAAAATAAATTGTCTGTCCTTTAATATTAATTGATTCCTTATAGTACAGAAAATTTTCAGTTCATGAAAAAGTCGTTCATATACGTAAACGATTCAAGAAGTAGTCATGGTTATTTGACCTACTATTAAGAAGGCATATTTCAGTCAGTGAGAGGGACAGAATTTCTAGACTTGTGTTTAGTATGTCGACTGAAACTGTTTTCTCCATGATACTGATAGGCGTCTTTGGAAAATTAGTGTCTAAAGGTTTAACGAAGTAGTTTTTATAAAATTTCTGTGGCAAAACATGAAAAATGGTTTACTGAAACAAGTTCAGAATTTATTGAGATCTGTTAACCCCTTTCATCTTTTAAATGTTGATAAAATAAGAGTGTTTAGCCATGCAGTTGATACTATTATGAATCATAAAAGTCCGTAATAAAACTTAAGTAAATAATTAGATGAAACCTTTCACTCATGACATTTTCAGAATAAAATAATGGGATTACAATGCTGAAAAAATGAAAATTTCAGTAAACTTGAAAAAGTACATTTTGAAACATGTGTACAGCTCAGTGAATCTAATGAAAATTTACTTTAGTGTAAAGAATGACAATATAAATAATACTTATATAATAAGCATCATTTAAACAAGTTGTTTCAAAACATTTTATAAAAATGGAAAAAATACATACGATATTGTGACTTCTTAATATGTTTTGAGATATATTTTAGTTGTTTTCGATCCGTACCCATTTGTTATATTCAATTTGCAGCTAACATTTATGGGACTGAAGTCAAGACCCTCAACTTGCACAGTATAATTGTAATTTATTCATATTCTAAGCAGTATCAAAACAATCTTGTACAAGCGGTAATTTTTTATCCAAATTAAGGAAACTTATCTAGTGTGAAATGACTGGGATAGGATAAATGAATTAAGAATCTCATTTATATTAGTATACGATTGATAGTTGATTGATTTTAATCACTTATACTAAGTTTACTGACTGAATAGACAACCTAAGGAAAAGGAAAATTTGTTCGAAATAAGCGACAGTTTTATGATTAAAGTAAAATAGTAAACTCAAACTCACTTTTCCCTCGTTGTCGAGCATCCGGATATTTTCTAAAACCGTTAAATAAATGGGTTTTTGTGAAGAGCTTGATTTCTCGCCCTTTTGAAAACTGAAAGAAGAAAGGAAGTTTATTATTTACTGATAATATTGGACGATGACGATCGGACAATATTAGAAACTGAATGGAGTTAGAAAATATACAATACCATACTTCGAATCGTCAGTCGAATAAAATGAGACCTATGTATTCCAGATTTATTGTGGTGTAAATTCGACAATATGGATCAAAACGAAATGCCATGGCGAATCAATACTTCTTGGTTTTTTGATAGCACTGCAGATGACATCATGTTGTGGAAAAGGCAAGATTTTTTCACAAATCCATAGGATAGAATTCAGTTATTGAGATTGTATTATTTTCACTGACAACAGGTTATGATGACCAGATATGGAGGTCTTTTTTCACTTGTTTGATAAAAACTTCTTTTCATATAAATAAACTGTCACTCTGATTTTTAATGCTGTTGTTAACGTCTGCTTACGTTTTAATCAGTTTCCATTTAAAGTGGAGCGTTAACACAATGAATTCCGTTATCACAACAATTTTAAAAGGGGAAAGTTATGAATGACTTTAGTTTAGTCATCTACGAATGGGTAATACTGCCCGAACCCAACTTGCAGTAGATTAGCCAAATACTTCTGATTACCATTTAATGCAACTCACAAATATTTTCATACAACATTTAGCTCAGCATGAATGCAATGTATAGACAAAGGATGTTGATTAATCAATTCTCAATTATACGTATTAAAGGAAACATCGTGGTGGCGACTCATAATGTAACTGAAATAATTTTCTTTCAAAAAAATTTATTTTCAAGTTGTACATTCTAATATATGAATCTGAAGATTTGAGATTTTATTACTTGAAGAAAGCCATTTCGAGTTAAATATTAGAGTTATTAGTTGACTCAACGAACCCACACAGTAGTTCATAGCTTATTATATGACTTATCCGATCTATAAAAATTTCTACTTCCCTAACTGCTTAAAATAACAGAAATTTTGACTAATCGAAATGCGACTACGATATAGGTTAGAAAAATTTTTCGGACTTTATAGTAACATTTGGCGTTAATATGTTGCTATTTCTGTTAATAATAGTTCCATGTTGCACACTATTATACTTTAAAATAAACTTGTTCATCAGGTTTCGTTTTGTTTCCCGTTGAGTTTTAACTGTGGCGTGATTTCATTCAATACCACCAATGCATCCATTTACATTTAATGGAATAAAAAGTCATTTTAATTTGTTTATTGCGTTCCCTGATTTGTTTATACTCACTCTAATAGATGTTACGTTGTTTAGTCTTTTTGACATTTTACGTGATATGATTTAGTGTTATTATTCTGATTGTTACTTTACTATAGCCAGTTATCACTCGAATTTCCTAGTGGAATGAAATTTTTATGTGTACATGGATATGCAAATCATTAATTCGTTGAAAAAGAATATCTTCATTGAATTTCTTGTCTTGATATTCTAATGAGAATTATAAAGTTATCATAGAAAAAAATTACAATATAAAATAATTTAATGTAGAATGTTTCAACTTTACTCACAGTGTTGGCGAATTTTCGACAGCATGTGGCTTTAAAGAAACCAAAGTTTAATAAAAAGGTAATAACAGTTATAAAAACGGTGAAACTAGTAACATTTGTTAATTATTTCCTGAAACTAACGATCTCTATGTTTAAGGATAGCAAATAATACATTGTAACATAGGTACAAATCTCAGTTTGGTAGAATTATTTACTTTCTTTGCATTTCAAAATATATTTATAAAAAAAATTTACATATATAGTGAACAACAAGCTATGTGCCATATATATATATATATATATATATATATATATATATATATATATATATAACAAATATTGCTTACTTTACACTGAGGGGAAAAGCGAAACGTCATATCACTTATCTTTAATTAGCTGTTGTACAATGATTTGATAAAGAACTTAATATTTTAATTGGATTAGAAAATATAAACAACTGCTAGTTCAATGTGATAAATCTATGAATTTATAAAATGCCTTGACAAGTAAATATGTGTGACCCGATTGTTCGAAATGTATAGCGCAAATACATCACATTTTCCAGATCACTTACGTCTTCTCACTGTTCTATCGAAATTTATAAGAAGGACTAGTTGTTATAAATTTATCAGTTTGGTAAGAAATTTTATTTGAGATGTTCAGCGATGGATCAACAAGCGAGATGAAGCTTGTCACTAGAAGTACTAAACTAGTCTTCGGTTTATAACTATCATGAAGCTGTACAATAATCCATATATTTTTTACGTATTCTCTTTATGTTTATGAAATTCATTAAGCAAGCAAGTTCCATTAGTTATTCTAGTATTTACTGAAGTGAATGAGGTGGTACAGTTATGTCAAGTTAATTTCTAGAAAACTAGCCTATAGTAACTGCATTCACAGAGTGATATGAAACTTACACATTTGCTCGAAATTTGGTTGTCATGATTCTTAAACTAAACAGGTTTGAACTGAATAGTGTTCTACCGTTCTCTAATCAGCGCGTAACTTGATGGTGGTAACAAGGTCGGAAAAAGTGAAGAGGTAAGCGCAAAGAAATGGTGTGTTTCGCTCTTCCACAACATCCTAGTAAAGACCCTAAAGATCATGCAATACAGTAGTTTGAGTTACCATTTAAAATCATGCGGAATAGGAATCAGTAAAGATATTGCTGTAGCTTTTTGAATAATAGCTTGATGAACTGCCTTACTTCATAAGTAAACATCTCATATTGTTCTAATAAAACTGAATTCCTTTCATATACATTACATTATATTGTAACTCATTGACTGATTAGTTACCGTAAGCTTAAAAATCTCTGTCACTTAAAGGAAAGTCATTACACTGACGGACGGAATAATTCAAAAAATGCCATTCATCGGTAATTGATTTCACAAAACCATAAAAATCGCGTACATTCAACATGGTAGTAAGTTAAATTCTGTAAAAATTGTCTAATGATTCTCCTTTCAGGTAGAAACTTATATACTGCTTTAAAATAACCGAAACACAAAGTGTCATCATAAAAAATTATGTGATGTCTAATAACATACTGAAAACCTACAAAGGAACTAATTTTAAACATTGAACTAACCGATGCTGATGATTTATTCACCACAGTTCCACGATCCGTATTTAAAATAATAACAGGATAATTTGATTTTGGTACAGGACTAAAGCCAAATTGAGGCAAACTATGACTTAATGATGTGTATAAATTTCTTTGAGAACAATTATCTAAAAAGCGCAAACAATTTAGAATGGTTTAAAAAAGCATTATCCAACTAATTTAAAGGGAGTTTACCTTTTGACGTAGGACTGATACAAAAGTCTTCAGAATTCATTGGGCTACAACCATCAGTATCCATTTCATGAAGGACTTTAAGATGAAACCCAACCAGTGCCCGCGCAATCAAATAATATGTGCGCATGCGCCCTTCACGCCATGACCAACTTAATTCCCTTCCTTTGAAGCGTACAATCATAGGTATTTATGTAAAAAAATATATAAAAGGACAATAGTTCAACATAAGCTAATATAATTATAAATAAGATTGCTATTGTGTCAACACACCAAAGACGACACTTTCTTGTGATTAATTGATTTACTTTGAATAAATATAATAAAAACTAATTCATGATGAATGATTTTTATTATGTATGAAATGTTACTAGACGAAGAAATTTTTACTAAACTGGTGTACATAAATATTTGGTAGAGAAATAAGTAAAAAATTTAGTATCGTACATTTATTTGTATTTAAAAGTATGAATTTAACCTAGTGATTGCATTATTATTAGATCGTCATCATAGAAATATATATATATATATATATATATATATATATATATATATATATATATATATAAATATATATATATATATATAATGTATAAAGAATATGTGACATCGGAAAGTATTCGCTGACTGACTGCATTGTGATCAAAGATAAAGGTTTAAAAAACTTGAACTACTGACAACTCGTATGTGTATAATTAGATACTATATTTCTTCTTAATAATTATTGTATAAACGTACAAGTAGAATAACTACTAAATGGGAAAAGGTTGAACGCTATTTATTTCGCCTAGTGATACTATTTTGATAAAACGTACCAATCTGTAAATAATAATTACTCAATAAACCCTCGTATTATACTATACTACTTACCACGTGGTGTTGTAGTTTCTGTTTCGTTTATTTGAATTTGTAGCTTTGAAATAGGTGATAACACAATATCTTGCTTGATTTGCCAATTTTCTAATATTTTATTCAATAAATAACGAATACGGTTGAAATTTTTCGAGGCACTAATGACTTTTAAAAGTGGAAAAAATCAACATTATGACATAAAGATTTCTGTTTAACATAGAACTGTTAGTGATATAGCGAAACTGTTAAATAATCTATTAAAGTCATCACCAGATACACGATATGAGGATTATTAATTAAAAGGTTGTGACAAGGATGACACAGATCCATCTAATTCGCACACGTTCAGAAACTCTGGAGATTGTACGACCCTATCAGAGATCAAACTTAGTACCTTCAAATCTTGTGGTGAGCATGTCGCCTTTATACTACTAAGAGTAAATGTTTACACATTTCTAGTTCCAATCAATTTGTGGTATAAATCAACTATCATTTATTATCTTCAGTTTTGGTTGGACACTTACTGACACGATTTATTGCTATTTAGTTTCCATTAGTTCTTAAATATATGTCACTTTATAATAAGAAAAATCTTCAAGTAAATGACAGGCTTCAACATTTGCACGTCATTAAAGCTTCTGATATACCTAAATAAGTTTAGCAATTTGTATAATTTTTTCGAAGCTAAAGACTTCGTGAGTTTTTGGAAAAAAATATACTTGCACAGGCTTGAATGATATTGAGTATATAGTTTATGATAACTAAAATACAAGTTGAAGACTTAAATTTTCAACAGAACTCGTAAAATCTGCTATTGCCTATGGATTATACTAAAATCACAAAAGCTAGCATTTGACCGCATTACACTGCACTAAATATTTTTAAATATGATTAAAAGGCCTCAACAGAAGACAAATGACGAACTTTCCCTGGTTTACATTGTGATACCGCTGTGAGAGAACACACAAAATTACACGTCGTCTGATACACAACTAAAAAAATTCTTAAAAACTGTATTTTAAGAATTATCAGATGGATCACTCTAAAACGTCTTACACAACGTCAGGTATAAACTGCATGCGCTGTTACGAACACATCGAGACGAATGGCCCATATAAAAATTAACTAAACAGTTCTGTAGGTCACCAGTATTTGGAGGCAGATTGGTCTCACCAACTTTCTAAAATTAATGTATGAAAAAAATAATTGTCGAATAAGGAACTGTACGTAAACACACCAAAGTGTATAATATTTCAAAACCAGATTATCCAATTGGTCTACAATTTTATGTAGCTATGTGTAATCCGAGAATTTTTCGTCTGGATGGTTTTTGGAAGAATATCAAATAGAATAGTTGGTATTTGCTATAGAATTCAAAACCAGACATAAAAATAAGAAACACCCCAAAACATATTTTTTGTGCTTACTAGTTACCGACAAAAAACTTCAGAAGAGCTATAAAGTCTCATGATGAAAGCCGAGCTCATTCGAAAGTCAAGAAGCCAATGCCCATTCTGACAACCAGATTAACCATTCTTTTACGTACATGGAACGTTCGAACATTGTGGGAGACAGGAAAACTATTTCAAGTTTCTGTAGAAATGAAAAGATACAGTCTGGAGGTGCTTGGAATCAGTGGGACATATTGGACGCAGGATGGATAGCTGAGACTAGCTTCAAAACAGCTGATGTTATACTTCGGCCATGAAGGAGAAAATGACTCACAAACTCAAAGAGTTACAGTGAAGCTGTCCAAACATGCACATAAGGCACTGCTGATAGGATGGGAAAGTCATGGACCCAGGAACAGCAAAGCATCTTTCAAAACAAAGAAAGAAAGAATTACAATGAACGACTACAAAGAAGACGTTGAAGATCAATTCTACGAGAGGCTCACCAAAGGACTTGACCATCCAGATTGGGGACCTAAATGCCAAGGTTGGAATGGACAAGACCGGATATGAAGACATCATGAGACGACATGAACTGGGAGAAAGGAACAAAAATGGTGAAAGATCTGAAAACCTATGTGACTTCAAACTTGTCATAGGAGGCACAATATTCCAAAACATGGGCATACCTAAAGCCACATGGATTTCAGCGGATTACAGTACTCAGAACCAAATCGACCATATCTGCATCAAGAAAAGGTTCAGAAGGACGATGGAGGACGTGAAAACCAGCAGAGAAACTGTTTAAACCTTAGATTACCACTTACTCGTCGCCAAAATGAAACCGAAAGTCGGGAACTACCGGAAAACGAGACGGACAACATCACAGAAGTTTGATACGGAGTTTGATACTGACAAACTCAACGAATTCAAGATAGCCCTCAGTAATAGGTACCAGGCCTTGCACGATCTACTCAATGGAAAAGAAACTACCATAGAGGACCATTGAAAAGGGATCAAGGAAGTAGTAGCTTCAGCATGTTGTGAGGTCTGGGCCACAAGAAGTACCGACACAAGGAATGGATCTCTGTTGTTTCTCTTGATAAATTTCAAGAAAGGATGAACAAGAAGGTAGCAATCAACATCAAACAAACAAGAGCACAGAAACCCAAGGCAAAAGCTGAATACACAGAAGCAAACAAGCAAGTAAAGAGGAGCATCAAATTCGACAAACGATAATATGTGGTAGACCTAGCAATGACGACGGAAAAGGCTGCTGGAGAAGGAAACCTGAGGCAGTTGTACGGTACAACAAAGAAGCCTTCTGGAAATCATTGTAAACCAGAACGACCAGTGAAAAGCAAGGAAGGCAAAGTAATCAGCAACACTGATGGGTAGGTGGGTAGAACACTTTAAGGGACACTTGAATCGACCAGCCCCACTGAACCCACCCATACACGGACCTCCCAATCAGTGTTGACTCACCAACAATTCAAGAGATCAGCATGGCCATCAGACAAATCAAGAGCCGCAAAGCAGAAAGAGCCAACAACATCCCAACAGAGGCAGTGAAAGTAGACGTAGCAGTAACTGTAAAAATATTTCACATTTTCTTCAACAAGATTTGGGATGAAGAACAATACCATCAGACTGGAAAGAAGGATACCTCATCAAAATACCAAAGAATGGCGATCTCAGTAAGTGTGAGAACTATAGAGGCATCACTCTTCTCTCAATAACAGGCAAAGTCTTTTACATGGTGTTGTTAAACAGAATGAAGGACTTTGCAGACGCCCAACTTCGAGATCAACTGTCTGAAATTCGTAAGGGTCGATAGTGTACCGACCGAATCACAACATTACAGATCGTTGGGGAACAATCAATTGAATGTAAGTCACCACTCTACATCAACTCCATTGACTACGAGAAAGTATTTGATAGCATTAAAAGGACAGCACTACGGAGTCTTCTTCGACACTACGGCGTTCGGCGGAAGATAGCCGACAACATATGGAATTCGTATGATGGATTTAGCTGCAAAGTCGTGCACGGGGGACAGCTGACATAATCGTTCGACGTGAAGACCGGAGTCAAGCAAGGTTGCTTACTCTCACGCTTTCTCCTTCTCCTGGTGATCGACTGGATTATGAAGACGTCAACATCTGCGGGGAAGCACGGTATGCCTTGGACAGCCAGGACGCAGCTGGACGATCTGGACTTCGCAGAAGACCTGGCTCTTCTATCGCACACGCAACAACAAATGCAAGAGAAGACGACCAGTGTAGCAGCAGCCTCAGCAGCTACAGGTCTCAACATACACAAAGGGTAAAGCATGATTCTCCGATACAACACAACCTGCCAAACCGAATCACTCTGGATTGAGATATGCCTTGGAGGACGTAACATGCTTTACATGTCTGGGCAGCATCATTCACGAGCAAGGTGGATCTGATGCAGACATGAAGGCGCGAATCGTCAAAGAAAGGGCTGCATTTTTAGAATTGAACAACATCTATAACTCAATACAACTATCAATATACGCCAAAGTCAGAATTTTCAATACAAATGTCAAGAGAGTTCTACTGTATGGGGCGGAAACTTGGAGAACTGCCAAAGCCATCGTCCAGAAGATACAAGAGTTTATTATTGTCTACCCAAAATACTTCGGATCCGTTGTCCATACACCATCAGCAATAATCTACTGTGGGACAGAACAAACCAGATTCCAACGGAGTCGGAAATCAGGAAGAAGTGGTGGAAGTGGGTAGGATACACAGTGGGGAAAGCACCGAACTCCGTCACAAGACAAGTCCTCACTTGGAATCCTCAAGGTTAGCAAAAAGAGGAAGCCCAAGGAACAAATAACGCCGAGAAATGGAGACAGACATGAGAAGAATGAACGAAAATTGGACGGAACTGGAAATGGGGGCACAAGACAGAGTAGGCTGAAGAATGTTGGTCGGCGGCCTATGTTCTGATGGGGGTAACAGCCTTAAAAAGGCAAGTAAGAAAGTTAAAAAAAATTTTTAAGTGTTTGAGTATATGTATATGTATTAATTGTTGTCTATTTGCTTGTTAAACTTCGAACAGCGTGATGCAATATGAAAACTGAGCATAATTTTGTTCTACTTACATTCAATGTATGAAAATATGGCGATTGGAGTTTAATTAGATTAGTGAATATCTTTATTTCGTTCACTAATTACAATATATCTTGAAAGTAATTTTCGATCTCAGCTAGAAAACAAGCATTATTTTGACGTGTTATTCATTTATACATTATAAATGTTGAAATGAACAATGAAAATTGTTTTTAACAACCAAGTTTTTTTGATAATGTTTGGAAAATAACTAACAAAGTATGAATAGTAATGACTCTACAATTTAGATATCTTGACTATACTGTTTAGTAAGTGCTTAGAATCTGTTTTCCAATTTGATAGCGTATGAAATAAACATAGCCAATTTAAAAATGAAACGAATTACAGTGAATAATCGTAAAGAAAAGAAACGTCAACGAGATTATTAATTCTGATATAATAGAAAAACTTACTTTAATAAGAAATCGACAAAGAGTCAGCAAACTTTCATTGAAATATGGGTTACTTTTCCAACTGTTGTAGTTGGAGGGCTGCAAGCAATCAATATAATTGTCTGATAACTAAATTTTTGAGTTATTAAAAGCTTCAAATAAAGAATGTATGGTGGAATATTCAGTCTAGTAAAAAGTAAGATATATACTGCAAAAAAAAAACCTAAATTTAATCTCATTTATTTCGTTGTTAGGTCTCGAGAAAGTGTTTGACTGTTCTCTTAGTTAACTAATAAAAATTAAAGAAAAAAGGTGTATATCGAAGAGAAGAAGCAACAATTATTTTAAAAATAGGCGTGAACTTGAGAGATTAGATACTAATTACTTCAAATGACAGCTAATATTCTATTCTATAAGCGGCTAAACGTTTATGATATTACTTAATTACCGACACACAAATATGACAGCAACAACATACATATGTAACATCTTACAATGTGAAAACTTAAAAATTGATTGATTCAGTTAATGAAATATTTAACAAAATATCAAGATCTTTTTCTGTATATCATTTAAAATAAAATCTATCCATCACCTTGAAAAGATAACCTAATTTCATTGAGGGACACAATACTGTTGCAACTTATGAATAAAATCTAACAAAAATTAACATATTGTCATTAAGGAAGTGAAAATAAAAACTTACTGAATTATCTCGGTAGGTATCAGATTGTATATCAGCGTTCACACATAATTCAGTTACTGTTTGAAGAAGAACTTCCTTAAATATCTAATATCGTATACACAAACACTGGTAGTATTAGTAATAATAATGTCAAGAAATTTAGTATTAGTATTATCAAAAATCGAATGACTATGTATCTATTTATTGTATCAAATCTAATCATTTTGAGTGGCGGTTGATGTAACTGGTTTGGAGGCTTTATTGTTGATTCCAACATTATTGGTTGACTATCATCACTTTAAATATCTCGTGAATCAAGTTTAGTGACATAAAGAAACTATCGTATTATAAAAAAATAGTACAACATGGATATAGATTTGATGAGATTGTGCTAGTTCTTAGCCATGCAGAATAAACAACTGCTGAATTTCTTTTACCGAATGATCCTTTAAGTATATTCACATATCTCACATTGGACCCCTTGACTTATTGAACAGTTTATTTCAAACTAGCGTAATCTTACGAATGAAACAAAAAATAATCTTTTCGTAAAACAGGCTTCCGTGAGAACCCTCTTGACTAACGTTTTATGATTGGAACAAAAAAAGCACTAACAAAAAGGTAGTGAGTAACCATCTTTAAAATGTCACAAAATGAACTCAGCAATCACAATCTTAGATAGACAAGACTACCACTAAGAATGCATTCTTAAATAGAGTAGGAACACGTTTTTCAAGTAACTCAGGAAGAAATTTCTTCCATTGGTTTGGGGTCAACTAGACTTGTGCTTCAAACATCACTCGTATGTTGGCCGATGCTCTTTTTTACTTAATAAAATGTATGATAATTAGCAGCTTAGGACTGACATGAATTTTACTAGACGGATTCAATTGTTTGTGTTCACTAAATTGGAAAAGTAAAATTAATTAAAGTTTAAAAAAGCTACAATTGAAACCTACGTCATCTGAACATCGGCTGAGGCATGTCAAATAAAGTCGTACTGCAGCTTTGCGTACAACGAAGTGATTACTGTGAAACAAGTTGGTAATCATTGTACGGACTCTTGGAAACAACTGATTCTGAACATATTCCTGTATATGTAACAAGCAAAAATAAAAGTTTATTCAGTTAAATGGTATTTTATTTACAGAATTTATAAACATGAAGCTTCTAAGCTAAGTGATAAAGTGATTTATAACTTGTTCTCTTACCTCTGAAAATCTACAGGCTGGAAGATTCGTTTTTGACACTACCATGTTTCCAGATAACGATGTCCTCGCAAAATATAGTTGCTCACTGGGCACCAACCTTCTCAACAAAACATTAAGTGCTGAAAATGGTAATGAAATATCTTTATAATAACGTAGTATTAATTAATGAATTTCTATGTGCCATATAAACGAAAATGTACCTCAAGTGTTAGTGGAAATAACGGTTGTTAACAAAAATGAAATCATTTACATTAAACGTCGAAAAAAGTAATAAAAATATGTTGAATACCAAGCTACTACTATCTAGTAAGTATTAGATAGTAGAAAGGTTACTGGAGAGTAAGTTAATAATGGTAGTAATAGTCTTATTTACGACGGCTAGTTCCAAAAAATGTCTTCAGTACAATAACTCATGCGAAATCTCAACAAAATCTGATTATTTATTTTTCAAAGTATTTTAGAATGAAATGAGAATGATATATTTAGTTTCATGGTTTTGAAATGTTTTTAGAAAATGATATGTGACCGTGATTACACGTTTCTATCTTGTTAGGCATTTAGATATTATAGGTCAAACGTGGAGAAATTCAAATACTTCACTTCCATCTGAAGTTTGTGCTGATGATGTTGTTCAGAATAACAATGATAGCTTCACAACCGAAATATCCAGCTCAGAGAACGAAATACCACCACAATCTAGATATTACCTCTGTAATAGGTTTATTGTGAACATTTCGAAAACTTTTTAATTGTCAGCACTAATAGAAATACGACTTCATTTGAAAAAATTTCTCGGGAAAATGAATTCTTTTCTTATTACGAAAACTTGAAGTAAAATAGATTACCTTAATTTGTGAAATTAAACATTTACTTCCAGTTATTAAGTTCCACTGCAGGCAATCACCTTTACAACCGGTTACCATATTTCAATTACGATAAATAAATGAACAAATATTATTATGAACTTTATAAGTATCATCATGTAGAGAAAACTTCCTTACTATCTGTGACACCTTCAGTTACTTCACTAGCACAAACTTCAGGCTTCTCCAATACCTAAAAAGGAGAAAGAGTGAATAATTCAATAAATGTTATTACGAATTATAAAAACTAATGAAATGTTTTATTTAAACATTTTTATGATCTTGAATTATGAGTAATTTGCTATTTATGTAAATGGCTTTACTCTTCGTATGGGCGATATACACATCGTAAACAGTATAATTTTAGTTACAAAAAATTCGTCTCGGTATTAAGTATGAACTGACATAGTTCCGTTTGTAACGATTAACTTATACTCCCCCAAACATGTTCATGATTGACGTTGTAAAGTTAATAAACGAAAAATGAACCGTTATCAGATGCGGAAGCGATATTTTGAGTTGGTAAGTAATTTGAGCAAAATACATTAAGGTACGTAATAATACTTCATTAAACCGAACCTAAAATTTTATAAAATCGCTCTAATGTTTTGCTAGTTTGGTGCAGTTGATATTCATGAAAATAAATGTAAGACTGTAGAATGTGGTGAAGCTTTTTCTGAATAATGAACATCAAATAAAGCAGACAGTGTAGTTAAGAAAACTTAACCGAAGATAGTTAAATTAACCATACATTTTTAATATGTACTGAACGCCTACAGATTGTAGGTCAAAACGTAGTCCTCTTTCTTTTATTTGCTTAATGAAATCCACCAAATATAGTACACAAGTGGTTAGTGAAGTAAACAATATGGAGGATTTATGCAGTTACATGTCAGAACTAAGAGGGTGTGATACGTTTTTGTTTCCAGATGTTACTCTCGAAAAGTTATTTATAGTGTGCAAGCGTTTCCTCTCCAAAATTTAAATCTTATATATATATATATATATATATACATTCCTTTAGATTTAATGTAATTTATTTATGGTATACGATATCAAATATAATAATTGTAATGGTAATTACATTGATCGTCATTCGCATGACCCTAATTCAAGCTCATTTACTTATTTATATTAGTTAGAAATAAAGCAACGCTAGCTAAATAAAAAAATAAAAGTAGCAGAACTTGATTTATTGTATCAATATTGTTGTTATGTTCATGCACATAAATGATATTATCATTATTTATATTGAATAAGGTTTATTTAAAGTAACTTCACACAATTAGAACAATTTGCGCTATTTGAAATGTTATTAGTTTTCATGTAGCTTGATTTTCACGCATTTCAGAAACAGAAGAAATGACACAAAGAAGTGATTGATTTTCTCAAGAAACTATTAGAATATATGTATATATATACACATATATATATAATCTTCAACCAAAAATACTGACCTAAAACGAAAGAGAAAGTATTTTGTTACCACTTTAAAGTTAAGCTTACTTCACCTGTGAGTACTGGTTATGAGATAAGGGTTACATAAATTATTGTAACATATCTCTGTTCATCTGTCTATATATTCATCTATCAAGGCATTGTCACAATCAGTTTACAGATAATCAAAACTATATTATCTTACTAACATCGCATAAAAACGTGAAAGTACTATGCAGCTAATTTGTTTTGAATAATATGATTAAAAAATTAAATTGATTTTTGTTTATTTTTAGATATAGCAAAAGCAACATTAATTCATAAACTGATAAGAATAACAACTTATTTCTGCCTGTATTGTAAGCAGTTACTTACATGAATCAAGAGTCATTAAGGCCTTTTTTCTCGATTAGACACTACTCATAAAACGAATGAATAATTACTAACCAAACCACATACATTGCAAATAATTTAGATCACGTCTCCAAAATGTTAAGAGAATTTCATGGTTTCAAAAGAATGATTATCACAACTGTTTTTTGACCTTATGGTATTTATTACTTAAACAATTTAAATTTTTATCCTGAAATGATAGGAACTCTCCGACAAAAAAAAACCATTTTCGAAAAGCCTGACTGAAAATAAACTTAAAAGTATGCGAACTATTGAAATTGAATTGCTTTTAACTTAAAACACTTATCGATTTTAGATGGTAATGTCTAAAAATGTGTCTGTCGCCGATGAAAATAATGTTTCCTTTAAATTTACTGAATAGCTATCATAGCAAAATAATACTGATAGTTGAGCAGTATTAACAGTTAAAGCTACTACGTGTTTCAGGACAGTTACTCTATAATGCTTAATAATATTTAACAATAAATTTCATAAATTTAAACTGAACTATGATTGTATAACTCCCCCGAAAAATACTACAATTATTTACTTATTTTACCTTTGATAAACTTCTGCTTTTTTCAAACCGTAAGTAAGACGCCCCTTATTTTTATTTCAGTATAGAATTCCATGTCTTATAAGGTGTCGATTGAATAAACTAACCAATCTAGAAATGGCTGAGATTGAGTTTTAAAAAAGTAATCCTTATCAAGGGAATTGGAGAACTTGTATACACTACTGATACTACAAGATTTACAGAGGTACAGAAAATTCAGAAATCCATATCCCATTTCATTATGATAATAAAATCAGGTATATTTGTAATGTTCGGCAGACTAGCACAGCTTATGTAATGAAAGTTCTACCTTACTGAAATGGTTACAGACAAGATTCTCAAAATGAATTGCATTGAAACTACCCATAATTTATATATTTATTTAATTTACATATATATATATATATATATATATATATATATATATATATACATATATATATATATATATATATTTAATTTAATTTAATTTGTATACTTTGAAAGACCTCAAAAAATCTATTGTTCCTCATTTTAAGCAAAAAGGTATCCTACCAAGGCAATATACTACAAATCACCATAAAAACACAAACTAGGGATTACAATGATGGTAGTAATAATAATAAATCTGGATAAATTGACATGAGGAATTTCCTCAAAGTAAGCTTTAATTTACGCGAAACTAAAGTTGATTGTTGTAGGTCCTAGTAAACGTTGACAGGAAACTTATGTTGACCATTCTATCTGTACAGTCTACAGAAGAGTTAACAACTATATTTCGAACAATCAAATAAGTCTTCTGGTAGAGCGTTGGATCAAACTTTTACATTCATCCCTATAATACTATTTTAGTAAAATTTATTTAGTGATTCGTATTAAAATATTCCTGTGTGTTCAAAGTAACTGACCAAGCATTTTATTGAAATTATTAGGAACGTAAAACCTTGTACATTGATCTTGGCTTTTCAATCATTGAAGCTTGTTTAAGCAATAATGGAGGTGAATCTTACGCTGTCATGGACCGAAACTTTTTAAACAGATACTCTCAATCACATAAAAGCGTAAACTATGCAAATGGTTTGTTGTCGACAAAATAACATTATCCAAATTGTATGAATGTTTTCTCGATGGTGGTAAAAATATTCAGTTTAAAACTGGTGGTAAGAACATTTAAACAATCTACGACTTTTTCTTCCAGATAATAGAAGCCTTTCACCATACATTTCACTCCGATTTAAAAAGAAACCATAATTAATGATCTATTTATCAATAGCAGACAGTGTTTGATCAGTAACTTCCTGTTAGGTATTTAGACCCTATTAAACTGAGTGAGGATTTTTCAAAACTTTTCAGTTTGTGGTATAAGGACCGAGTTTCGTCCTACAACATTCAGAAACCATGAAGCACTGGACATTTGTTTTGACCTAGTGTGGATCCACTGACCCACAAGGATGGAAGAGGATCGTCAATCCTTGCGCAGATCAATTAACCTTCTGGGTGTATGGATGGAACTCAATTTCGGTCAACATTCCGAACTTCATATTGTTTGTGATGTTACGCAGCACTCACCCATTAGGATAAGTGATGACTGTCTGACACATAATGTGGTTGAAATCTATTGAGTCAGACTGTCCCCTTGAGCTTCGAATCTGAGGAAATAATTTAATGGATGAATTATAAAACTTAAATGGAGGGGTGCGAAATCCCTTTTGAAATTAATTCATTGAAACACAAATATAATGGCATATTTTTTGTGACACTAAGATATTACAATATGTACCTTGTAAATCATAAAACATCTTAATAAAAGAAAGCACCCTTGCCTGCAAGCATCCATATATGTTCCCTGAAATATCTACAAACTGTTAGTTACATAAATTTTAAGATATTATACTTTCATATATTTATAATATACGTGGGTGTTTTTGGAAAGCTGTATTGTAAAATGAAAATATTAAAAATCTTTCGTTATACATGAATTTACCTCAACTGATAACTTAATCAGCCGTATAATAGTATTTGTAGAAAGTTGTCCAAACAGGCTATGTAATGATCCTAAAGTTCCGATTCGAATACTACGGTTATTATCTGTACAGCAGTTCCAAATGAGATCCTGTATTTCATGAAAGAAATCAATAAAGATAAAAAATTAATGAAAAGCTTGATATATATATATATATATGGATATATATTTCAGTGACTCCACTTTTACGAAGAAAACGCCGTTGGTCAAATAAAAACATTCATTATTATGACCAATTGTGAGATGGTGGAGAAAATTTTTAACTCAGGTTTTCTGAGCTGTATATTTTGGTTGTGGAGCTTTCGTTGTTTTCTGAGGAACATCATCAGCACAAACGTCAGATAGAAGTCAAGTATTCGAATTTCTCCACGTTTGACCCATGGCTTGTTTTGTTAACCTCGATCTTGATTGCTGGCTATTAACCCTAACCCTGTTGTTGTTTGCAACTTTGTTTTGATTGTATCCACCTTTTGATCTGTTTCTTGATCCAATGTCGCCTATGATTTTTGTGATTGGTTGATAAATTGAGTTAATATCGATGTGTTTGTTGATTTCTGACTGACCTGAGTGCCAAGCTTCTAAAAATTTTCTGGTGTTCTTTGTGCTCCTCCTATGCAGTTTTTCCAAAATGTTTCAATCGAATGTATGTTCATAACCAATTGTACCATTGATTGTTTGACTGAACTTCTTGTTTATTCATACTTTTATACACACACCTTCCGCTTGCTTGATTTCCAGCTTGTTTATACTGCTCGTGGTATCTTCGCCCATATTCTCTGGCACGATCTAGGTATTTTTTCGATACCCTTGAAATCACAAATATACTCCTTCTACTGGACTATATTTTCTTCCCTGTTTTCGGTTTACCACGGGATAACGATTAGAGGCGGAGACGTAATTGGTTTATAGTGGTGTCAACTCTGGAGTGGAATTGACCTCCACTCGAACAGTACTCGAAACAGTATCAATAGTAAACCAAATTACGCTGTTATACACAAAATTAATTAATTAATTATTTGATTATGAATATTTGAACTATACAGTGCAACTACATAAACTTTTAGAATCTAAATTCTTTCAAATATCAAGGTTTTGTTTGAGCGTATGTGCCGTCTTCCTCATTAGGAGGAAGCTGTTACGCTCATTAACAATCCTGGAGTGTAGCAGTATGCAATGACCCAATCATACATTTGTTGCGTTCATTACCGATAAAAAAATATAATAAACTGATTTTCTCTCGAACCTATTAGCAGTTTACTTAAGTAATGCTTTATGAAACTTACTTCGTGAATAAAGTTGATACAATGTAGTTTGGACGTATGACCTGACTTAATATTGAGCTAATGACTTCGTAATTAGTGAACATTATTTTACAGGTAAATGCTAAAATTATCGGTAATTAAAGACAAGATAAAAAATGTTTTCTTGTTACTACTGGAGTTTTCAGTTCGACTGATACTTAAGATAACTAAACACATCATCATTTCATACGAGTACATCATTCTGCATTCGCTTCTTAGAGAATAAATAATTGAAAACAGAAACTTTGGAAGACAGTCAAATATGTTGTTGGTAGAGCTACGAAAAACATTTTTAATATCTATTATTTGAAATGATTAACCCACTTTATTTTCCAACTTTACAGTTCAGATTGTTATCAGTGGTCCATCAATATATTCGTTTGATATGGAAGCACAGCTGGTGTTTATCAATACCAAAATTACTGCAGATATTTTATACGTAAGAATTGAGGACGTGTTTTTAACATTGAAGTACTTATACATACAGTACATGAAATATTACATCTCATTCGCATCAGTAACGTGTGATAACTTAACGGTTTGACCTTTAACGAATTAACAAGAATAGAATCCCAATAAACACAGCGAAATTGTTTTTACACATAATTGGGTTTAGAGTTAACTGATACGTCTTTTTTAATCCCTTCAGATGTTTTGGTATTTTAAAAACGATGCTAGCAGATAAATTTCATACAAATCTTTTATCGGTAGGCTGACATTATTATGATTATGATGAGTGGATCACTGCTGATGGTTACTAGTTAAGCGAACAAGTCGACATATTCAGATCTCTTACTCCTCATTCTGTTAACAGATGTTAAGGTTGTAGTAAGCTATACTTTTTGATGAACTAATTTGTAGAATATCCTGAATAATAAATTAAACTAGATAAAGGATAGTCAATTTATTGATGACAAATCATCTTGACTATCCAGTTAGCTTTCCATAATCTACGAAACATTTCACAGGAACAAAAGTTGGTCTTTAATTGCCCTATTGAAACTAAACGCATTCAAGGTTATTGAGCGTGGACATAAAGATTAACTGGAAAGAAGAACGAATCAGAATTCACAGAGATTTGGAGGAGTTATGCTAAAAATGTCTGCAAAACATGATAATCACATGCATTTATTTTTTACTATTACATATCAAGCTTCATTCTTTTCTATTCGAAACATCATTGAACACCTACTTTCACCGTCATAAACATGCTTTCTGGAGTTGAATCTTCTGGGAGAAATGGCTGCGTTGTAGAACTTTTGTGAGAAAATATGGGACTTGCAATCGCCTTCACACCACCGCCATCTGTTTGCAATCCAAATGTTAACCAATCTACAGCATGCAGCGCTATTAGCTTTCGAGTGTGATGCATCCCACGAGCTATCATATAAGGAGGATTAAATTAACGATAATAATAAATCATAATAATCATTCTTTTGTTGAAAATAATTGATTTGAAAAATTATTTATTTTCTAAAGATTCTGGTGTCAAAATAAATAGTTAATAATGATCATCGAGGAAAATGATCTCTTTCCCTACCTGATAATTTATTTCCTTATACCTGTTACCTCTAGTGGAGTATCTACCATCGATCAGCATTCTCTAACCAACTATATCCTGAGTCGACCTTTTCAGTTCTACCAAGTTGCTATCTATTCTTTCTATGTGTCTCCAGCTTTCGGCACAATGTGTTTCTTGATTTACCACTTTTCCTTTGGTTCCAAGGATTCCAAGTTAGGCCTTGCCTGTTGACGCTGTTAGGTGATTTCCGCAAGGCGTCTTATTTATATCCAGTACTTTTCGCAACTGCTTCGTCCACCGATAGCTGGTTTGTTCTCTCTCAAAGTGGGTTGTCACTGATCGTATCTGGCCAACAGGTCTGCACAGTACTGTGTAGACAACTGTTAATAAACACCCGTATCTTTTAGATAACAGGTTTTGTAGTTCTTCACGTTTCTTCTCCATACAATAAAACTGTTTTAGTGTTTGTATTGAAAATCAGGACTTCAGTGTTAGTTGATAGTTGTTCTGAGTTTCGGATGTTCTTCAATTGTAGAACTGCTGCCCCCGATTTACCAATCCGGGCCTTTACATCTGCATCTTATTCCCCTTATCTAACAGTGATGCTGCCCATACATGTAAAACTTTCCAAATGTTGAAAGGCTTCTCCGTAAAGTGTGATTTCGTTGGTGCATGTTGTAGTTTATCCAACGATCTATCTCTGTCCCCCCACAGTTGCAAGGGCTGTTGCTACATTGGCCGTTACAGTTTGGGATAGAAGAGCTAGATCATCTGAGAAGTCCTAAGTGTCTAGCTACATCGAAGTCTCCGGAGATGTTGTCGTCTTTATAATTCAGTCCACCTTCAGGAAAAAAATGAGGGGTGAGAGTAAGCAGACTTGTCCAACACCGATTTTCATTTGGGATGAGTCTCTTAGTTGCCCCCCATGTGCAATTTTGCAGTACAGTTTACTATAAGAATACTGTAAAATAATGACTATCTTTTCAGTTACACCGTAGTGTCAACGAAACTTCCATAGTGTTAACCTGCACACGCTGATAAATGCTTTTTTGTAGTCAAGGGAGTTATTATGCAATAGGTTTCATTCAACTAGTTGTTCAAAAATGATCCTAAGTGTCACGTTCAGTTGGTACTTGATTGATCTTTACGAAATCTAGCCTGCTGATCTCGAAGTCAGGAGTCTACTGAATCCACCACTTAGTTGGAGACTTTTCCTGTTAATGAGAGTAGAGTGATGCTTTTGCAGTTTTCACACTTCCTAAGATCTTTCTTTTGTATCCTGATGAGTTATCCTTCATTCTAGTCTACTGATACTTGTTCTTCCTCCCAAATCTTGCTGAAGCGAGTGCAGAATATCTTTGTAGTCACTGCTAGGTCTGCTTTCTATGCCTCAGCTGGTAAGTTGTGTGCCTCTTCTACCCTGCCACTCTTAATTTTTCTGATGAAAATGCCGACTTTTCAAGTGTTTATGGGTCAACATCAACTGCCAGGTCCGTGAGAGCGGCTTCTATATTCGGTGGGCTCAGTGGGGTTGGTCATTTAGAGTTCTTCGTAGTGATCTGCAAACTTTTTTCTCTATTCTTTAGTGTCGAGGATTACTATGTCTTCCTTGTTCTTCACTGGTCGATCTGGTTTACGATACGTCCCGGTGACCTTCTTCGTTGTATCACATATTTGTTTCATGACTCCTTCTCTTGCAGCTTTTCCTGCTGCCTTGGCTTGATTCTCCACATATTTACGTTTATTGTTCCTTACGTTCCTCTCAACTTTTGTGTATTCGGCATGTGCGTTAGCTTTCTCTGCTCTTGTCCGGTTGTTATTGACTGCTGTCTTCCTTTCCTGAATCTTGTCCGGTGGGTATCAACAAACATCCATTCCATGTGATTGTTGTTTTTGTGGCCCGAAATCTTCTGACATGTTGAAGTTGTCACTTCTTTGTCCCCCTGTTCTCCATGGTGATTCCCCCTTCACTGAGCAGATCATTAAAGGCCGGGAACTTATTGCTGAGAGATATCTAGAATTCACTGGACTTGCCAGTAGCCCGAAGAAAAGCCGTACTAAAATTTTGTAATGCTGTTCGCCCAGTTATCCAGTGCTTTCTTGGTTTCAGTTTCATCTTCGCCACCACCAATTAATGATCTGAACCTATTTCAAATGCTGCCTGTGTCCTTGTGTCCTACATAGACAATGTGAACCTTTTATCGATGCAGATGTGATCGATCTGGTTCTCTGCAGTGGGGTCCAGTGAAACCCAAATAGCTTTGTGTGTTCGTTTGTGAGGGTGAGTGGTGTCACATATAGTCACTTTTTGAAGACACAGATTTGCTAATCTCTCAATGTCTCCCCCTCTTTTTTTCAGTCCATATAGTCTCATGAAATTTTCATATCCGGTTTTGTTCATCATAACCATGAGTTTAGGTTTATCATCAGAATATTCAAGTCATTTAATGATCATTTCTCAATGATTTACTGATCTTTATAACCTTTATTGTTACTGTTGGTGAGGGTATAGGGCTGCATGACATTCCTTTCTTTCTTTGTCTTAATGGATACTTTGATGATCCACAAGATCCATATTCTATAAGCGCTTTTTGGGCTTCTTTGGATAGTATCAGTGCAACTGCTTGTGTGTGAGGCATTTTCTTCTTCATGGATGGAGTATGACAGCATCTCACTTGATGCTAACATTTTTAGTTCCTGTTGAGTCCAATGTGTTTCAGTTATTTCGAACATAACCAGGTTGACATTTTTCATTTCGGCAGCAACTTGAATGATTCTTCCGGTCTCCCACCTTGCGCGAACATTCCACGTATCTATATTAGTGGTTCCTCAGGTTTTCAGTAGAGGCATAAGCCTCGTGACTTTTGAAGGAACTTGGCTTTCACCATGAGGCTTGTAAACTAACCTAAGTGAAGATCTTCCGATTCCCAGGGTAGAGTTTGAATGATTTGAATTATTTTTTAGCGAGTTAATTTTCTACGTCTTGTGGTTAGTAAGCCCATTCCTGACCCCCTTTTTATGCGTGCTTGGGACCGGCAGTAGCCCCAGAAGGGTTCTAATTGAACTGATCTATTCAATCTCCTGGAATGAGAATGAATAATAGTCCCATCCTTTTCTGAGATAGTCTTGCTCATAGTCGGATTCCTCATACCAGTTTTCTCGATAAGTCTGAACAGTTGTCGACTGTTGCCTATCACCGCTGCCTTTTCCATCTCTTTCACTTTCGCTACCCACCACTATTAGCGATCGTTGCGTAGGCTGTTTATTAGCTTACGCCTACAATGACTTCGCTCTTCGTCATGTTCAGAGCCAGGAGGGATGAGTTTTCGAGCATCCATCAGTTCCGTAGATGCTACTGAAATACACGGCTTCTCCCCAACCTTGTGGTTTACCTTACTAGCAGATATCACTGCTATATCCACAGCTTCTTGGATATCATTCCAAGCTCCCTCGCGATGAGCATCACTTACTACATTGCCGCCTAACTGTTTTTCTATGTGTTCCTGAAATATATTCTTAGCTTTATTATCAATAAGCAGAACCTTAAGAAGTTTCCTTGTGATATTCTCCCTACGTCCAGTAAGCCTCAAGCAAATACACACTTGCACTACAGCATGGTCTGAATCTAAAGAAGTGCTCCAGAATGAGCGGCAGTCTTCAAGAGAGCCTCTCCACCGATGGCTTATAGCGATGTGATGTAGTTGGGTCCATCTTTGGGTCGGCTTTAGGAGTCGCCGGGTCAAAATTTGTTTCTCCTTATGCTTAAAGTTAGTGTTTGGTAGAAATAGGCGGTTATCTGAGCATACCTGCAGTAGACGGTCGTCATTATTTGTTCGGTCAGCCACGAGACCATAAGATTCACCCAGGTGTCTTTCCTTTTCACTGAGTCTACCTACTAGAGCAATAATTCCCCAAAAATTACTACTATATCAGAGCGCTCAACTTTTTGGAGGACGTTTAAGAGATTGCTGTAGAACACATCTTTCATCTCGTCTGAACTGCAGTCAGTGGGACAGTAGGCAGATACGACGAAGAGGCAACGGCGAGTGTCCCTATCCTTCCGAATCCTTACTGTCCTGTTTGGTCGGACAGCGTAAACGCGACTGTCTACCGGGATCCAGTCTACGAAAGCTAGTTCTGTCCTAGTACTTAGTACTATACTACACCAGCGAGGCCATGGGAAGCAGCATCAGGGCTTGGAGAAACACGAAGCACAAACCGTGTTGTTTATCTACCTGCACAACGTGAAACCGAACTGATGTTTTTATTCGGATGTTGTATGCGCTTTTCGGAGAAGAAACATACATAGACTGCACAGGACTCGAGAATCTAGCTAGTGAAGCCTCTTGTCTTATTGGCACAAGGTTCGAACACTAAAAGTTTCAATATGTAGTTTGGAGCAGGTTTTCTGGAGACCAGGAATAACGTTTCGTGAGCTCGAAACGTTTACCTTAGCGGCGTAAGGTGGCAAAAGATCGAAAGAAGGGTTGGTCGTGGAGATAAGAGAGTTACTAAGAAGTGTGGAAAGGGTTTGATTCTGACCGATTTGGTTTCGTTTGCTCTTATGGGTATGAGGGCGGATGTTACTTCCCGGCTGTCCATACTGTGGACGCGTGTATGATATCAAGAAGATATAATAAAACATCTACATGTTTTTTACAACTGCAGCAAAGAAATATGATACGATCAGTAAACGAACAACAGATGAATTTCTTCAAGTTGGTTAAGAAAGTGGTTACACATCAGTGCTGATATACATCCGGTTATATTCATTTGAGAATCGTTTTGTGTCAGCATGGAAACAGATGAATGAGATACAATCAAAATATTACTGTTCTCAGATGAAAGTCTTATGTAGATATTATCCTTGTATCTTTGAACTTAAATATTACATCAAATCTGACTCATTATCAATAAGAAACTTGATTTTCCTTTGAAAAACAAACCAAACGTCTAAAATCAATTTAGTTGGAAGTGCCCTATAAAATGTATGTTACTAATTGTCAGCTAGCCATCAACATAAAACACCAACTTTTCAGTCAAAAAACCAAGTCACCTTCACAAAGTCTAAAATATTTTTAAAGGATGATTAAACCAGGAAACAGACATTTCTCAAAGCTGCAAGACAAATGCTACAAAATCATCTTCAAAAACTCACCTAAATTCATGGAACTGATGAGCATTTTAAGACCAGCCAGTGAAAGAGGAAGACCTCTTATCCTAAAAGATATATTTATTGTTGTTTGTGAATAGTTCCGTAACTTGGAAACTTGAGGAAAACATGTAAAATTACTACAAGTATACAAGTTAGTGAAATTAATATGGCAAATAAAATAGACACCTGTCTCTATTTATTATGTTAGAACTAATCTCAATGTTCAAAAACCATCATTCAAAATTCATATGCCTTCAATAAAATCCTGTAGATTCGTGATGACCATGGTTGGCGATTTCTTATCGATTGAAAGTACGATCTTTTCTGGACTGTTTTCTCATGAAGTTTTCATTATCAGCATAAACATCAGCGAATAAATATATCATTTTTGTATATTCTCCGAAGAAATGGTTTACACAGTCATGAAGCGTCAGAAATCTTATTTCTCTACTCCAGGGATAGTAAACACATCCTTATTTTTATTGATTACAAGATACTCAATGGTCAGTTAGACCTTGGTAGTGATACTTACCAACGGATAACGGTTAACCAGGGAGGCATAAAAAACGTAAAATTCCACTTTTCTGGTAAAATTACAAACCTTGACTTACTCCACTCGCACAAACGTAGACAGCAACAGATATTTTAAAGCGTTTACAAGATTCAAGTGGATACACGATCCCTACATATCATGTTACGAAAAGAATATACGGAAAAGAAACGTAGATGGAACAGTATTTAGATTATAATATCATTTGTCCTGACGGTTAGAGATGTCTAGTCAAAAAGCTTTTTAATAGAGAAGGAATGTTACATTCAAACTATAAAATAAATGAGTTGACATTTCTATAAATTTATTACTAAATATGGAAAAGGAAATCTCAAAGATGAGAAACAGCCGAATGTTTGCAAGTGTCTGTCATACAATTTAAAAGTAAATCAGTACCCATTGGATTTCATCTGTAGTTGAATCTGTGAATTCACATACAGCTGTGGCACACTTATTTAAGAAGAACAGATAGAATAGTTACTAATAGGTTTTATGAACACGCTCCTAGATTCTGAGACTGAAAGAGAGTAAAGTATTCACAACTGTAGTTACCATGCCTCTTCTGGACACTGAATATAGTGTGAATATAAGTGATGAATTTGAAATAATTAAAAGACAACCAACAATAATTTTGTTTCGCTTTACAGAGGCATTCGCTATTTAATGTTTCCTATATGATCTATATATACAGGAGGAATGTATGATCACCCTTTCTGTCGAGACTAAGTATTTGTAAAGTAACTCGTAATATTATTGTTTACATACTTATTGGATTTTGTCAATTTTGAGTTGCGGAGATTGTTGAGTTTCATTGAAATCGCGAGTCAATCAATGTTATATGATTTTTAACCCCGATATGACGAGTATCTGTGCAACCAGTCACTGATTTTACTACCCTCACGTAACCTTTTTCTGTCTTATTAATCGTTACTAACAACAATAGCACCTGTTCTACTCTGCGTTATTACCTTCCGAGATGTATATGCACATGTTTATTCATACACTTTATGTTCGATTCTTCGAATGCAGACTGAGTATTTGAGCCTTTTATTAATTTGAGTGGTTAAAAATTTGCATACTATGTTTAAATCATTAACAATATATTTAGAATGCCCTAATGACTGGACATGTCTTTTCCTTAGGAATCGTGTCACATGTTCACATACAGTCCAGTCTTGTATAATGCAGGGCTTACTAACTTCTTACGTCTATCGCACAATTTACCAATCAAAGTATAGTAACAGTAACAACTTGCTATCGCATGTTAACGTCTCTTCGCAAACTTCAGAGCAAATGGTTAGTAGATTTTTTGCTTGATAACGCTTAAAGAAGTTTAAATCTAGAAACATTAGATACTTATCGCATTGACTTTAACTCAGAATTGAACAACAATTTTATAGTATCCTACTGTAACAATAGGATCATGAAAACATCCTACAGAATTAGAAGCCTATGCATAACAGATAAAAAAGATAAGATGATATTTGATAGTGTAAAAGTTCCCAAAACCACTTTAACTCGTCAAGAAACACTCAGACCTGTGTTTTATTAAGTGAATATAAGTTTTTATTGTTAACTATAGCAGCGCATTAGTAACCTTTTGCCTCAAACTAGCTTTAATAAACCCCGGAGAAAGAAAACATATAACTGACTCTTGAAAAAATTTCTACATTATCTAAATGTTCTTACGTGCTGTCGCCAAAATGTGTTGGGAATCCGAAGTGCCTTCATGTCAAACTGTGAACAAAACTTTTCAGCACAACTTTATTGTTTTACGTTTAAAGTAAATTAAATCTAAAACTTCAGGATAGTTGCTTCAGGTTCCTACTTATATGCAAAACCATTTTAATCATGAATAGTACAAATACAGCATATACACCTCAAAACATATGTTCGATTTGAACATTATCTGTTGTTTTGAAAGAATGTATCTGTGTTGTTTTAATAAGATGAGACCCGATTACAAAATAAAACTTACAAATGAATAAGCTCCGTTGTGATTTCAACGACTCTGTCTTTCATTCTCAGCTCGTCATCTTTTGACACGTTTCTATATCTATGTCCAGTTGAAGGTGTGACTATCTGGGATCGTACATCATTTAAATCAATGTCGCTCCAACCATGGCAACGCGCAAACAAATAGAATACCAACCTAATCAAAATAAATTGAACCATAGTATTCATGTGAAGGATAATTTCGTTGAGATGATGAAAAAATCAGAGTAACTGAATTTTCTTTACAACAGTAGCAGAAAGGAATCACCCTCATTATTCGGGGAGAATCTATCTATTCACGTCCTTGGTCGACACTTTTTATATTTCACGACACTTATAAAACAGCTTTTAAATGGACAATCAGGCTCAGTAAAACTGAAAAACCAGATAAATACTTTTGTTTCTCCTGTCCAGTTATGTGGAAAATGTGTTCAAGACGGCATAATAAAAATATTTTCCACACACTGTATAATGATAGCATATATAATGTTTAAATAAGCATTTAACAGCTCTTTTTGGTCGAAGTTATAATGTACATACAGAATGTTATTACGTAGGTTATACAAAATAGAATTTGAGGTATGTAAAATCAAAGCCACTGGGGGAAGTCATTTCCCGACAACTCACTCATATCTCTTAAAGAATATACCCTGATTAAATGTACTGCAATAAATCCATTAATATTAAAACAATTAGACAATTAAGTGTGGCTTCATATGCTCAGTTATTATATAACTTGCTGGATAGAGTTAAAAAATGATAGATGATAATGACCACAGAATACGATTTGTGACCGCTATCTTTGCAGAAAACCACGGAAAATAAACAAGATATGAAGTGAATAGAATTACTATTTGCTATATATAATTTACCGTAAATTCAACCCCTTAAAAGACAAACTTTTCCCAGTCCCACTTAAAAACTAATATTTTGTATTATGACCTAAAGCTAAACTCATAACAATTTTATTATTTTTAGACGGTTGAACCGGAAAATATCTTCATGTAGCTACTGTAAAGAATGTATAGTGAGTACTGAACTAAATCCAATCCGGAATTTACGATGAGTGGTTATTCTAGTCTGTCTTCACTGTTATTCTGAAAGTTTATTCAAGAGTGCAAGGACTGAACACAAAACTATCATATTTCATTTACCTTATACATAAGAAAAAAAATCCTGATTGCAGCATGCCTTTTCTGCTGTGTTATTTGTTGATATCTAAATAACAGAACGACAGTCTGTAAGAGAATGTAATATACGTACGCAGTTCTGACATATTTAATAAGTCATTCAGTCAGGTACAACGTATAACTTCGTACGTACGTGCACCAGTTTGAATCGCCATACCAAATTAGCACAGATAGATGTTAGTGTCGATCCAAGTCCCATAGTGTTAGAGGTAGTTGGGGTTTTAGCAGTAATCGATAAGATTAGGATTCGAAGATATCAGTCGAAAAGTATGACTCAGGGTAAAGCGTTCAGTTCTGAATAATAGCTACAGGGCAAAACCACTTTACTGACACTTCTGCTTGGTAAAAGAATGATCAACAATGTGAAGTATCATGGAAAATTGTGAGCCAACAAACGTTGTATATGAACAAAAACGATGTATACTCACCAATCTAGCTCTTCATTTACCGTCCAAATGCGCCCACAATCTTTGCATATACGACTCAAAATCTTAAAAAATGCTTTGATGCCACTTGTTTCAGACACACTAGTGTTTGGAGTACTGATTCCCATACTATCATAAGATGTAGCGTGTGTAAGCAACAGTGAAAGAAATTCAAGTTCTTTTTTCACATTACTTATATGCTGACATTCAATCGCTAGCTGCGAAATAGCTAGGTCCATTGCAATACAGACTGTTAGAGCGATAGTATCTTATGGCTATTGAAACTTGCGCCTAAAGGTAGTTTAGTTAGTTGTGGATCGAATGAAAGATTTCGCTCAACAGGCTATCACGTTTAGTACCTGTTAATCGCCGATACCTTAAAACAGGGATTTAAGTATATTTGACTGGCTGTTGAGATGTATTTGAAGATACTGATGAAATACTGAGTCCTAAGGAATGTCAAGTTTTCTTTTGGAGGACTCCGGAGAAGCTGCATGGACCACATTAACCGTTCTACTATCAAACCAGCCAAAAATAAGATTTATACTTAAAAGTTTAAGGTTACATATATTCATAATTTCGCAACGTTTTGGTCCTTAACACCTTTCATATTAAGAATACCCAGACCGAGTGTAGCCACAAATCAGCAATGTAGGCGTTCGAAAGTATGATACAACGATAGGTGGTATGCTGAGGAGTGGATGAACTAAGCTGGCTAGCTGATGCAGGGAGACGCGTAGCGCGGCGTGTCTATCGGAGATCTGATGTGGATTCATACTCGAGAGCTTTCAGATAGGGTTTGAACAGTACAGCTAATAATGTCAGTATCGATGTCCATATTCTTACAGAATTTTTTAGTCAAGGGATTCATCTACACATACAGGAATTCTCGTGGTAGAATAAGACTTTAGATCATTGTGAATCAAAGGAAAGAAACCGAAGTAGTAAGGATGGACCCATATCTAAATATTAACCTATTCAGTAGACATGTATGAATGAACCTGTAAAAGGTTTCTCAGTAGTAATGTATAACACATTACGGTCCCTTCTGCAGTCATGCAAAGATGTACATCTGTCCACCTCAGTCAGTATCCTGATCATATACGATTGGGCTTTCCTAGAGCACGGGAGACAAGATGTCGGCAGATCGTAAAATAAGGACTGATCACCCCATGAATAAAATACAAAATTAAGGATATTGTCATGCGAGTTCTTGGGATATAAAGTCTTCAACACAATGGAAGTACTGTCAGTTGTTAGCTTGTAGGTTCAATGAGTCAATCTTCTTAATAATACGTGGAATGTGCCACAGATTTCAGCCTTATTGGATTATGCCTTCATCTAGTGAATGAAGGAACATCAAAATTGGCGGTGTTGACAAGACACGTTTCAATCTGCTATATAGCAGATTGAATCGTGTCTGGAGAACTGTCTTTTCCCAGTACAGCGCTTTATTTTACTTTTGAGACTCCCAACAGTTTGCGTTTAACGCTTGTAGACCGGGACTGTGTATTACAATTGAAATGTCTGGATATTCTTCTTGGTCGAGGTTTTGTGGTACCGCCGCCTCGTTTGGTTGGCGATTATTGTTACAGTGAAATCCTCAAATGTTTAACTACCTTCGAACCGTTTTCGTGAATATAGTAATTCTAACTTCGCTTTGGAATTCTCTGCCTGACTCAAACTTTTAACTTGTTAGTTGATAATTTTGACATTGCGTGCTTTCAATTTCACAGAATTTTGGTAAGGCATTATCAAACTGTTGCTTTGAATGCCTGGCAAGTGAAAGTGTCACGTGGAATTTGTTTCAACCGCTATCAGAATAATGTGTTAAGTCTGGTTTCTTACAATTTATGAATGAAGGTATAATAAATCGGTAAAAATTTAGTTTCATGTTGTCTTATTTGATTCTTGAATTACAAATAAGATATAGAAAAATTCACTTCAGTGAATTTTGATTTCGGAAACAGTATGAAGCATATACTGGCCTTGCCAAGTCCAAATTCAAAACATAAGTTTCTGGGTAATAACGGTTCTATTATTTATCAAAAAAGGAATACGGACAATTAGCTTAACAACATTATACTGTCCCGATCCAAAATTAACACAATAAGTTTCCAATTCTGGAAGAATGCGTCCTTTCAGTCAAGAATCAGAAGTTGCCGCAAAGGTATCAAATCCTATATGGCTGCAGCCATATTAAGTATCAGTTTAAACAACACATTAACAGTTCAGAAGGAAACATATACACTAAACTACAAAAAATAGGGAATATAAAAAATACAAATAATAATGTCCCGAATTGGGACTAACAGAGTACCAAAATATTGAACAGAAAGAGTCAGCAAGATCATAACACAAATATATACATGGAGGGACTTTCCCAAAAACGAAGCTTTCAAAATGGATTCTACATAAGATAACTGGCCGTTCTCAAAGAAAGAACAAGATAAAAGTTGTAACATTATTATCTGAATTCAACATATGAAATCTTCAACTTTGGCTAGTCAAAGAATGGCTGCATGTCGGAATCAGCTTTTCGGATTATAGGGGAATTTATTTCATAGTTTGATCTGATACTGAAGCTTATCTTCACGTATTCCTTTAGTGTGCCGTTTTTTTATCCGCCTGACCTGTGCTCATATTATCATCACTAGTCAGCCTCATTCCTCACTAGCAGTATTATTCAAGTTTTAAATCTGCCTGTAGCACCTCTGTATCTACCGCAGGTCCCGAGCCTAGATAAAGAGGAAGAGTTGAGCATAGGGTTGCCGACCACATCCCACAAAAACCAACTTGCTTTAGAAAAACTAACCAGAAAAATCAACTAATACCAATATAACTCTGTATTGAGAATCAGTCGGTCTTATGACGTCTGACGATGAAGGCTGAGCTACATCAAATTCATGAGGCTGCAGTAAATCGTCGACAGGTGCTCACCAAAGGAATTGACCATTATGATGAGAGACTCAGATGCCAAGGCTGGAACGGACAACACCAGATATGAAAACTTCAACAGGTTACTGTTAAACAGAATGAAGGACTTCGTATACGCTCGACGTCGAGACCAACATGCTGGATTTCGTAATGATCGATCGTGTACTGAACGAATATTGTGGAACAATCAATTGAATGTAAGTCACGGCTCTACACCAGCTCGATTGATCACGAGAAAGTATTCGATAGCGTGGATAGGAAAACACAATGGAGGCTTCTTCGACACTGCGAAGTCCCTGAGAAGATAGTCAACATCATACGGAACTCTTATGATAGATTCAACTGCAAAATCCTGCACGAAAGACAGCTAACGGACTCGTTCGAATTGAAGACCGGTGTGAGGCAAGGTTGCTTAGTCTCACCCTTTCGCCTTCTCCTGGTGATCGACTGGATTGTGAAGAAATCGACATCTGAAGGGAAGCACGGTATAAAATGGACAGCTAGGATGCAGATGGACGATCTGGACTTCACAGATGAGCTGGCTCTTCTATCGAACACGCGAAATCAAATGCAAGAAAAGACGACTAGTGTAGTAGTAGTAGGTCTCAACATACATAAAGGAAATGCAAGATTCTACGACACAACACAGCATGCGCCAAACAAATCACCTTTACATATCTGGGCAGCATCATCTACAATCAAAGTGGATTCGATGCAGATGTGAGGACGCGGATTAGCAAAGCAAGGGCTGCATTTCTACAGTTGAAAAATATCTGGAACTCCAAACAACTTTCAACCAAAATCAGGATTTTCAATACAAACGTCAAGACAGTTCTACTGTATGGAGCAGAAACTTAGAGAACTACGAAAGGCATCATCCAGAAGATACAAGTGTTTATTAACAGTTGTCGACGCAAAATACTTCGTATTCGTTGGTCAGACACCATCAGCAACAATACAATGTGGGAGAGAACAAACCAGACTCGAGTGGAGAAGGAAATCAGGAAGCAGTGATGGAGGTTGTTAGGAGATGTTTTTAATTAGTTTTTCCATCAACAGGATTGGAGTCCTTTCTGATTAGTAGCTGAGTTTCCGTTCAGCATACTTTACCTTTAGTTGACTTATTTGAAAATCTTAAGAGACGATTGTACTTTCGGTTCAAAATGTGATTTCTTTTTTCACGGTAGCTGGCAGTGTTTTCTATGGACTTGTCACGTAGCTAATGAAGTTTTTACTCTGCAACTTTACATACTGAGACTCTTGTAAGTAAGTTCGAATAGCAAAACATCATCAGGGTAGTTTTAAAGCACCCTAATAGACCCAGATGAAAAGTAATTTTAATATTTTATTCACAAATAACATGTTACAAGATCCATGCCAATTTACAGGCAAGATCAAAGTCTTAAAATTGCTAACATATTTTCTGTAAAAGGTTTTTAATTTACGTCAGCACTTCACAGAATACACAGGATACATGCAATTGCGACGGTTGAGCTGTGACGAACCACTGATGGCTGATAACCGATGCAAGGTTCTCCTGCGCATATGCCGGTTAATGAAGACTAGTCAGTAGTAAGATAACGAATGGGTAAATAATCTTATGAATAAGGAAATTCGAAAGAACTACATTTTAGGAAATAATGTTGATTTACAGAATAAAATAAGGAAGCCATGTGATCTGATGTTCTGTGATATTTCACCAATCGTTTTTATTTTCAACGCTGTATCTTGAGAATTTATGAGTGAGCTATTTTTCACCATAATTGTCCAAACCTTCTTCTAATAGGATTTCTCAATAGGAAGTCAAACTAGTTTAAAGTTACGATAATGAGTCGTGGTTGACCTGGTAAAGTAACTTTCACATCGCTGTTTAGTTAGATGCTGCTACATCATGAGGAGCCGTAAGCAAACAAAATGCTTAGCTCTACAGACATGCGTAGATAGAGGTTATCGTCCTATAGACGTGATTTTTGGTCAAATACAACACCCCCTCCTTTTGTGATGTTAGGATCTCTTACGTTTGAAAAATGTTTTAAAGTCTAAGCTCTATTTTTCGTACACCTTGTCGCAATACACTTTCTCTACTAGCTCTACGTTATAAGGGGACTCTAGACAACTTTGGCCTCTGTATGTTGGACTAAATATACACGTAGTAAATGCGGATGACCTAAAAGTGATTTATCAAACTAGCAAATCTGACTTGGGAAATTTGTGGGACAGAACATTTTGTTTGCTTTCGGCTCTTTAGATTAATGAGGCGACTAATCAGTAACACTGAGGTTGCTCTTATACGCTTGCTACT